TACATTGTTCACGGTTAGGAGTGCTGAGTGTCGGCTGTCTCTGCTGCAGCCACTCTGAAAACAATGCAGTTACTTCGATCCAGTAACACTCGTTATGATGGTCCTACCACTGGTTTGTCCCCTTGCACTCTGCCTTTGAGGCAAACACACTGCTGGTAATGTTCTCAGCCTGAGTTGTAAGGCAGCCTGATTTAAAAAACAAAACTCCAAAAACACTGTAACGTTTGTTTTGAACAGCTGGTCTTTAGATTCCAGAGATGTTGGAGCAATAAAATGTGAAAAATACTGATTTTATCTATCGATATGATCTGTACAATTTGCTCATCTTTATATTTACAGAGGAAAGAAGGAAGACTGGTTTTTTTTTTCAACCCATGATACAAAAACCTGAAGACATCTCTCCCTTTTCTAGTGTCTTGGTATTTGCTTGTAATAATTCTTTTGACTAGTGATCCTGAGGAGTACATCAGTGACTATGTAGCCACTGCATGTGAATATTTAATTATACGTTTGGGAAAACAGTGAGTACCATGAATTTGCTGTGGTTGCACATGTGACAGAGCAAGAAGGTATTTCAGACTCAGTGTCTTAGATGGTGATTTCTGGTGTAGTCAGCTTGGAAGCCGAGCTGCAAAGCCGTGTGGTTTGTTCATCACCTGCTGTAGATATGATGTGTGATTACTTAACATAGCTAGTTATGATTGCTTTGTCTTCATTAACTAATTGTGAGAAAGGAAAAAAATCCACCAAATACTTTCTGAAATGTGCAATAATTATAGTACAATCATGACCTACTTGGCTTCTTAGCACGGATGAATTGGAGATGAATTGGGCTGTGTGGATGTTGTTCCAAAGAATCTTAAGACCTGTTTTTCAAAGATGCCTTTTTCCTCTGTCTCCTTCAGTTGCACTACCTGTTTTTACACCTACATTCTTGTTTTTAAACATGAATTATCCCTGCTGAAGGTGACATTATTGTCTGGGGCTGGGTGGGGTGATGAAACCCCATTATATGGAATGGGGAGAAAATCCAATGATTTCATGTTTTTTGATGTATAAATGTTTTTTCCTTCTGGCGGAAGTGACGTTTGTTTGGGAATGCTGACAACATTTGCTAAGGGACAAAAAACAGGTGTAGTTGAAAATGATGAAGTCTTTAAGATAACAGTATTGTGTACTTCTGGGTGCTCATAGCGCAAGCGTGCCTTCTATTGGTTTCTATTGCATGGGACTAGATTTCTAGTCAGAATCTGTAATGCCAACTTATATCAACTTTTTATATGACAAAGGGAGACTCCTGTGAAGTAGTGAAGGTAGTTTAAAACAAACAAACAACCTTTGCTGCTGTTCAAGTACTAGGAAAGTGCACTTCTCTCCATGCACTTCGCAGGCAGTGCGTAGATGGTTGCAGTCAGGAAAACTCATTTGTGTGCTAGCATAGAACATGAGAACTGACGTTTTGTGACTTGCATCTCTTAGCAAATGTGAGAAGCATTATGAGTTTAGTTTTAGCAAGAGACAACAGGGAGAAAAAAAGTTTGCATTAGCACAAAACTTTCTAGAAATTGGTTTTCTCCATCTGGATAAAAATTTGAGGTAGCTACTCACTCTGCAATCTTGATGTGTGTTAGCCAGGTGTAGGACAGGAGAGACTTAGTGCTGTTATGAAAGATAAAGCCTGAGTAGATACCCTCAGCAGACGTACTACTCAGTAAAGTTGGAAAATCATTCCAGTGGTATTTTATTAAAGTCACTATGGCTTAAGGACAAAGGCAGGAGGAAATTCAGAAGCTCAGTGGGCTTTGTGGCTGTTGAAATTAATGCTTTTCCTCTGACCTGTGAGAATATTTTTCAGGCTCTTGATGGTATTTACTTTGGTTTTGAGTTCTAGGCATGTGGGAAGTCAGTCTTGCATCTGAGTGTGCAGATGGAAGATGCCCTTTGTCAGGTGAAACCAGAATCTGCTGTTGTGCAGACACGTTGCAAGGTTTGGAAACTGTGATAATTTCCTGAAGCGTGCTAGCTGCCCACTTGAGAGGAGGTTTTGTTATCATTCAAAAGGTTTACGTGCATGCTGTCATTGACGCCGTGGATGATTAGATGTGGAATTAAAATTTCTGGGAAATAAAAATTCGAGTTGTTGCATCTCTGTGATCTGTTGTTGTTCTTCCACGTGCGCTCCCCCCTCCTCGCCTCAGCTGTGACACCGAATCACCATGTTTGTTTGGTCAGTGTTTGGTAAAAATTGAGACAAATTCAATTATTTATGAAGCTGAAAGCTGCTGGTTTCTGGGAAAGAAACCATGAAGCACATTTGGAGAAAAAAAAAAAAAAAGGCAAAACAAAACACTTTAGTGAAAAATTGATTGAGGCTAATGCAGGTTTTATAGCACTTGTTTAAGCTGCTACAGATGTGATTTCTGGTAAGCTGTAAACAGTTCTCTATTAGTCTGAGTCCTTTGATTGAAGAAAGTATTTTGGAGCATCTTCATCTGAATCACTGCTAGGATGATGGTTACAGTGAGTCGATTAGCTGGAATTTCCAAATAGCTTAAGAAAAATCTATCCTGTGAGCCAATATAGCTGACTTATTCCAGACGCCCTTGATGGTATTGATGCTGGTGGTGCTAGCAGGTGACTTGTGGAGTTGCTGATTTGGTCTTAATAACCAATGAGTTTGAAGCAGTAGAATGTGACATGTGGTAGGAAGCTGCAGCTCCTTGTGCTTTGAAATCCAGGAGGTTGGTGATGAACATCTTGCTTCCAACTGGGAAGCTCTGCTGTCTGCCAGTGGTTTAAAAAGTTGCTATTATGCTTTTCTTAAAATGGGCATCAGAGGAAAATAAAAGGAAATTTCCAAAAAGGTAGTGGCTTACATTGCTTAAGTAAATATCTCAAGAAATATGTGAAATCATTTGTGTACTACAGTGATGTTCTGTACCTTTTCAAATTTGGCCTTATAAGAATGATGTCAGAAAAAAACACCAGTTGATAAACTTTCTGTTGCTTTTTACTTCAATTGAAGTCTTTAGGGCTT